AAATAATTTTGTGAAAAAATCCTTTAATTAAACATATAGAAAAAGCAGACAAAAAGATTTTAAAGATTTACTGTCAGGAATGGCTCTTTAAGGGTTTTTGTTGTTGTTTCTTTTTTTTTTTTTTTTGCCGGTCATGGGGTCTGGTGCTGTCCCTCAGCTCTTCAGCTCAAGGCTAGCGCTCTACCACTGGAGCCACAGCGCCACTTCCGGCTTTTTCTGTTTATGTGGTGCTAAGGAATCGAACCCAGGGCCTCATGCTTGCAAGGCATGCACTCTACCGCTGAACTACCTTCCCAGCCCCTTTTTGTTTTGTTTGTTTTTTTGCCAGTCTTGGGCCTTGAACTCTGGGCCTGGGCACTTGCCCTAAGCTCCTTTTGCTCAAGGATAGTACTCTACCACTTGAGCTACAGCACCACTTCCAACTTTTTCTGGGATTAATTGGAGATAAGAATCTTACAGTCTTTCCTCTCTGGGCTGGCTTCGAACCTCGATCCTCAGATCTTAGCCACTTGAGTAGCTAGGACTCCAGGTGTGAGCCCCAGTGCATAGTTTGGCCCTTTAAAAATTTATCTTCACAAAATTTCAAGCCATATTTCTGCTATCTTTCTTGGAAACATGCCTCTGAGAGGAAGCTCTCTCAGGAGGAGTTAACAAATGATTAGTTGGCATACTTACTAATAAGTGATAGCTGAAAGGTAGCTTTTATGAAGAACGCAATTAATGTTTAAAATCTACATCATGTTGTAAGTTATAATATCAATGTGATGATTACTTGCTCCACTATAGCCCATTACAATTATATTCAGCTAATTTTTCCATATTAAATCTGACCTACAGAGAGCAAGGGCAGACATAATAGACATTAATCTCACAATAAAAGCAGTATGGATATCAGTGTAGATAATTATAACCAATGTATGCTCAAAATTTTTTTTTTTTTTGGTCATTCGTGGGGCTTGAACTCTGGGCCTGTGCGCTATCCCTCAGCTCTTCAGCTCAAGGCCAGTGCTCCACCACTTGAGCCACAGCTCCACTTCCAGTTTTCTAGTAGTTTATTGGAGATAAGAGTCTCATGGACTTTCCTGCCTGGGCTGGCTCTGAACTGTGATCCTCGGATCTCAGCCTCCTGAGTAACTAGGATTACAGGCCTGAGCCACCAACACCCAGCTGTATGCGCAATTTTAAAATATTCTTCACTAGAAACTTGTTTAGATTTTGGTGAAAATTAAAAAAAAAACTCAATGTACAATGGCTAAGGTAATATATGTGATTTGTATGGGAAATCGGTGATCTTCACCCCCACTCACAAAGGGTTAAGAGGTTAGTCCATCTTCGGTCCATTCAACCAAACAACTATTGCTAATCCACTCCCAAGCTGGGGCCATTCAATACAAAATGAATAAGATACTGTCCACCCTCAAAAACCTTACAGTTTACTAAGGAGAAGTGAGTACAATACAACTTCCAATGCAAGGTCAAACTACTGTGTTATTTAAAACCACAGACTGTAGTGACATAGTTCACTATAGTCATAGTTCACATCACTGAGAACACAAGTTGCTATAAAGCTTCCTGAGGCAATGAATATTTAATACTATTTTATGTCAGTTTATTTAAGTGTGGAGGAAAATATCTATGGGATGGATAACAAATACAAAACAAACCTAGAAAAATCACTGCTATATTTTAAATTTTTTCCTTCATTGTTATTATTATTAAATGAAATAACAGAGTTGTGTCATGTATACAGCTCATGATGACATGCTTTTGCTATGTAGCCCCCTAATGGCCTCAAACACACAACCCTCCAACTTCAGTCTTGGGAAAGTGCCAGGATTACAGGGACGTAACCACCATGCTCAGCTCAACACTGTGTTATAAGCTTCAGTTTTGTACCTCTTTGTTTAAATTTATTCCTAAATACTTTATTGTCTTTCAGTATCATTGTTTTCTGCTTGGCGGTACTGGGGTTTGAATTCAGGGCTTCACACTTGCTGAGTAGGCACTTTACCACTAGGGTCATTCCACTAGCTCTTTTGGTGTTGATGTTTTTTGAGATAAGTCTTACTTTATGATCAGCAGCACTAGACTGTTATCCTCCTATTAGTGCTTTCCTGTATTGCTGGGTTGACAGTACCTGTCACCACATCCAGCCATTGGTTGAGATAGACTCTCATGAATAATTTTTTGCACAAGTTGGCCTCAAATTGTTGTTTTCCAATTTCTGCCTGCCAAATAGCTAGGATTACAGGCATGAGTCAGTGCAGCCTATTTTTTTTAATTGATTTAGTTATAACTGACAAATAAAATTATGCATATTTTGATAGACAATGTGGTGTTTTGATATATGTATACATCAAATCAATTAATATATCAGGCTAATTTATATATGCATCATCTGACATCTTTTTTTTTTTTTTTTTGCCAGTCATGGGGCCTGAACTGTGGGTCTGGCCTGGGTGCTGTCCCTCATCTCTTCAGCTCAAGGCTAGCACTCTACCACTTGAGCCACAGCACCACTTCTGGCTTTTCCTGCTTATGGTGCTGAGGAATCAAGCCCAGGGCCTCATGCATGCAAGGCAAGCACTCTACCACTGAGCCACCTTCCCAGCCTTGACACCTTATTTTTGTACCAAGAACAGTTTAGATCTAATCTGCTTGCATTTTTCAAGTACAAAACACTGTCTTTAGCTATAAGTTAATGCTGTGCAATTTATTACAGAACTTACTTTACATAGTGTGAGGGAAACTTTGTAGCCTTTAGATTAATTTTTGTCTTTGTTCCTTCTCAGTTCTTATAACCACTGGTCTTTCTGAGTTTTAAGATTTCCCAGAAGCCAGCTGGGCGCTGATGGCTCACGCCTGTAATCCTAGCTACTCAGGAGGCTGAGATCTGAAGATCACAGTTCAAAGCCAGCCCGGACAGGAGAGACCATGAGACTCCTATCTCCCATAAACCACCAGAAAACCGGAAGTGGCGCTGTAGCTCAAGTGGTAGAGCGCTCGCCTTGAGCTGAAGAGCTGAGGGATAGGGCCCAGGCCCAGAGTTCAAGCCCCACGACTAACCAAAAAAAAAAAATTTCCAATTTCCCAGAAGCCAGGCACCCGTGGCTCATGCCTGTAATCCTAACTATTCAGGAGGCTGAGATCTGAGGGTCACAGTTCAGAGCCAGCCTGGCCAGGAAAGTCTGTGAGACTCTTATCTCCAATAAACCACCAGAAAACTGGAAGTGGCACTGTGACTCCAGTGGTAGAGTACTAGCCTTGAGCTGAAGAGCTCAGGAACAGTGCCCAGGCCCTGAGTTCAAGCCCCATGACTGACCCCCCCCCCCCAAAAAAAAAGTCCACATAGAAACCGAGATGCCATCTTGCTGCATAACTTCTTTTTTAAAAACCTGACTTGCATTCCATCATATGTACATTTTTTAATTCAGTCATTCATCAATACATCCTTGGGTGATTCCATGTGGTGGTTATTGTGAGTAATGATGCAATGAACCTAGGAGTGTTCATAGGATATTTTGGGTCTTTGTTATAGGTTGAATATATCCCTCAAAGTTCATGTGTTGGGAACTTAATCTCTAATGAGTGATGAGAGGTGGTATCTGTAAGACACAATTAGATAATGAGGGCTCTAGTCTCTAAGTGGATTAGTACTACTATTGCAGGAGTGGGTTAGTTACTGTGGGAGTGGGTCCCTCTTCAGTCCCTCAACTTTCACCTTCTTTCATGAAATAACAGTATTTCTTGGCCAACGACCATATTTTTCTTAATTAACTTTTGGGTTATATAGACTACTGAAAGATATAAAGTATAACTTCTAAGCTTCCCGTTGGTGAGGAGAAAAGCAGGCCTTGAAGGATCTTGGAATTACCTTAACCTTCATTTGACCTGAGTAGTTTAGCAGAATCGCAACTTCGTTGGTGAATACAGAACAGATTCATTTTCAATCACATCCGTCTGACAGGTGTGGCCTGGGGAAGGGTATGGAGGCCCACGGAGGGACGAGGACAGATTCAGTACAGCCCCTGGGATCTGTAAAGCAGGGCTTTGCTACCCTCCTTCCTTCATGATCTGTGCTTCTCCTCTTCCACTGCTTTTACCACTTCATGCTCCATTTCCGGTTAGTCATTTGGCTTGTTTAATGGAAGGCCTATTTTGATCCCTTCACAGCTTCAAGCTTTCTGGCAGATAACTGGTTCTCTGTGTCCTGCTCTGTCAAGTGAGACTTTGATTGGCTTACTAATTATCACTTACCAAATACTTACCTAGCAATTGCTAATTACCACCTGATTGCTGAGAACTGTAGGTTACTTCTATGCCCAATTGATGGATCTGGTGACTTGTGTGTATGTGTGTGTGTTTCACATGATCTCTGGCAATGCAACCCCCTGGTGGCCAGGAGAGGACTTTTTTCTTAGTTACTCCTGTGATTTTTGTTCTGGAATACTTTGGATCAGCTTTCCATCCCCAAACCCTGGTTACAATAAGCATATTACAAACTTACCTACCCACAAATAAAAGCGACTACTATGAAAGGATTGGTGAGTAAACCGAATTATGAATGAGGTAACGTAGCAAAGTAGGGAAGGGAAGAGATCTATACTGATCTCAAATCAAGAGCTAGTTTCATCCAGGTGAAAATCTCCTGGACGTACAATGAACTGGCTTTCAGGCATGCAGTTTGTTGCAAATCAGACGGTGCTCACTCAGTCTGCTCGTTTTCTGGAAGTTCCCACTCCGGGTGTACGGGAACAGCGGTAGTCACGGTTTTTTCTCGGAGCTCGGAGGTCTTGCTCGTCGCGGACGCCGGTTTCCTCAGGCTCCGAGGGAACTGTCCAGGAGGAAACCCCAGGCAGGGGGGTAGGTGGCTCGTGGTGGCTCTCACTCGTCTGGGGACGGCCCTCTTCTGGAACGTCTCCTCCCCTCTCTCCTGCTCATAGGCTGGTCCCTGGGCGAGTGGGAGGCCCCCTTCCAAGAGGCTAAACTCCGGTACTGCTCCTCCTTCTCCTCCTCCTCTTCCACAACCTGTCTCCGGGCTTGGGCTACTTCCTTCTCCACGCCCTGCCTCCCCTGTGCCTCGAGGGAAACCCGGGTGCGCACCGACGCGGCCCAGCTCTGCGTTTGGAAAAGACCGGGAAGCGGAGTGGTGAGACCGAGGGAAGAGAGGGCCAGGACCGGGTGTCCCGCGACCGAGCAGCCTCTGTGTGTGTGTGTGTGTGTGTGTGTGTGTGCGCGCGCGCAGGTGTGGAGATCGTGGGGCGCGCGGGGGCCGGGGGCCGAGACCGCGAGTGGGCACTCAGGTGCCCGCGGGCGCTGAGCTGAGCTGCGCCGCCGCGCGGCCCTGCGCGCCCCCGCGCCCGCACTTCTCCCGCACACTTCCGCACTCGGCTCGCGGGGCGCCGTTCTGCGTGCCGGGGGGCGGTCGGGGAAGCGAGACCATTTGTTCCCGCGGTGCCAGGTGTGGGTTTTGCGCTTGGCGGTTCCCCGGAGCTGGGCCGGGGAGCGCGCTGGGGTGTGGGGGAAGAGGCTGCCCGGAGAGGGTCGGCGGTCCCGCGGTCAGGGCGCTCTGCAGGGCCGGCAGAGGGGTGCGGCTCGGGGCTCCGATCGGTGTGGGGAGGTGGGGGTGGTGAGGGGCTCTAAGGGCTCCGTGCAGCCCCGGGTAGGGTCGGCGTTCCTCCCTCCTCCTCCGGACACACAATCTCTCCCGGGGCTAAGGTGGAGACAAAGGCTTCCGGGACGCGGCTCGCCCTCGGAGCCCGCCCTGCTGTCCCGGAGCCGGAGGCCCGGGGGCGCGAGTCCGGCGCCCCCATCTCTGCTCCGGAGTCAGTGGTGACCGTGGGAGGGTCCTCCCCCCTCCGCCCCCGAACACCGGGTTTCGAGACCCTTATTTGGCCGGACCCCAAACTTGGAGGATGGATGACCAAATATGGAGTGTGTGGGGGCGGGGGGGGGGGAGGCAGGAAGACGGAACCGGGAAGGTGGTGCTTTGACCCGCGCCTGCGGTGGATGATAAAACCCGGGGCCGGGCTGGCAAAGTGCTCCGTCCACGTGCAAAGTTGGCTTCCGATGTCCAGACCCCGCTTTTCGCCGACAGTAGAACATCTACACGTATTGCATCCAAACTCAAAAAAAAAAAAAAAAAAAAAAGCAGCGAACAAGTATGATAGGGTGGTGGAATGCCTACTTTCGTGATTCTCGTGCTCACGGCCTCATTAGATTCAGTGACAGAGGGACTGATTAGATCCAGTGACAGAAGGCCCGTCTAGCATCTGCCCTCACCTTCTCTTGAACCCCTTTCTCCTGCTGCAGCCTCTCACTGACAGACTCGCTCTTCCTCTTAGATTTCCTCTGCTCACGGCCTTTATTGTCCAGATCTGGCTCACCCCAGACCTAGGCTTCTGTCCTTGTTAGAAAAATGTCAAGGGTCTTACAAGTTCTGTGTAACAATGAGTCCCCCCCCCCCCCCTTTGTGCACATGTCTCTCTCCTCTAAATAGAATACGACACAGCAAATTCTATATGCCAGCAGTAGTTTCTAAACCTGTTATTTTTCTATTTATAGGGGGTCTGGGCAGGGAGCCTTTCTTGCTTTGTTAAGAGATCTGCTTTAGTGTAAGTACCCAGCCTGTAATATTTCATACAAATACACGATGACACGTCTAGTCCCTTTGCATAACAGCAAGAGAAGAAGAATGGGGGAGGGGGGGCAGATGGTGTGTTGGAGACAGAATTTAATTGTGGGGAGTAAACCCCTGGGAGCGTTTCATTGTCCATAAGATGAAATGCATAAGTGCTCTGCAAAGTTCTTAGGATTGTTTGAATCAGCCTGGATAGAGAACTCAGTATGTAATTAATCATAAAGAAATGCATCTGTTCTTAGAACTGGATGAAATGTACATCTGCTAAATATACTGCAGAGACTGGTGGTACACATAGTAGAGGGGTTTCCTCTCAGTTTCTCATTATTATGGGAGGTCAGGTCTGAATGTTTTTGGTGGAAGGTGTTGAGAATGAAAAGATCAGTTTCCAAGGGAGGGAAAATCAGTGTGAGAATTCGAGAAGTCCTCAATCTTGGGTAGTTCATTCTCTCTCCTGTCCCAAGTGGGCTAATTACTTCATCATTGCTCACAGATCCTTTGTATTTCTGCACATGCTCCCAGGAACAGAGAGCATTGTTAGGCATGGTTTTGATTGTTAGACAGTATGGGGGAAGGATGGCTCTTAAATCTGCTTTCCTATTATATTTATACCTGGTACAACACAAAACACGACATTCACGTAAGTACGTAAGAAGAACGTCAGTTGGAAAAAAAGATACAAGCAGATCTCTAAACTAACTTTATGGGTTAATATTCTTTAGTGTGTAAGTAGTAGAAACTCAGAAAACCAGCACAAATGAAACTGAGAAAGAAAGCATTGGTTCTTAATGTTCAGGGTCATGGGTGGGTTCATTGTTACGGGTGTGAATTTTCTTTGTGTTAACTTGATTCTTGACAGTCTCTTCCCATATGGTGTTCATTTATATCATATTAGAAACCAATGGAAGTGAGAGTGTTGTTATACTGATGGGTCTAACGCAATGTTGGGGCTGAACTTGATTTCCTTTCTGTAGGGAATCACCTACAGAAAGTCTTTAAACCAAACGTTCTGCCCTGGAGCACTTCTGGAGCCCAGAATAAGGGTTTATCCAAGATATGTAGAGGAAGGAAAGAAATGCTTGGTCCAAACAAAGTTACACTGCCAGGGTGGGGAATGGGTGCTGGCAAGGCCTAAATGGGTTGTCTCCCTGGTATTTGTGAGCCTGAGGCAGGAGGATCTCAATATTTTTCCCTACCATTATTCTCAGGGCCTAGATTTCAGGCCTTGGGCACAGTGGGGGTGTGCTCTGAAAGCACATGGATACACAGTCAGTGCAGAGAGAAAGGTTTATTGCCAGCAGAGGGGCTGGCCAGGCTCGTTCTCTCACCCAAGGAAGAGAAAAAGTGCTTGTCATTGTCTAGGGAGCATTTTATAATCTATAATCTACAGGGTGTAAGGGTGGGAGGATTCCAGAATGGTGGTCTAAGATTTATGGCAGCTGCCTGAATAGATAAGGGGGCCTACTATTAGAATGCCAAGGTGAGAGGGAGGAGCCTGATCTTCAGCTCCAGCACCAGAGGGGCCCTTTGTGTGCCTGTCTGAGGAAAGGAGCATGTCAGGCTAACATCCTCTGGGTATGGTATAGGTTTTTAGTCTCTTAAATTTTTCTTGAGTTAAATGTAATGTTATAAATAGAAGGTCAGCCAACACAAAGTCCCCAATATTTGTCCACTGTAATGTTTGATAACGTTTTATGTAGATGCATTAAATGGATCATTATGCATATTTACTGTAGCTCAAGCTCCTTAAAGTATAATGTTCACCCTAGTAACATAGCAGGTAGTAGGTGTACTTTTACTTATTAACTGGTATTCCTCCCCATCAGTATCATTTGAATATATAGCCATAAGTATTGCTCTCGTTTTTTAAAAAGACCAGGAATTACTTAGTGTCCATCTAGATAGAGTTGTTCCTCCCAAAGTGCACCTTAAGGAATGTATACATACAAGCCTACTTTAATTTTTTTTATATTATTATAATGGTGATGTATAGAGGGGTTACAGTTACCTAAGCCAGGTGAAGAGTATTTGTTTTGGGACAATGTCATCCCTTCCCTTGCTTTCTCCCAGTTTTTTCCTCCCTCCCAACAACCCTACTTTTTTTTTTTTTTTTTTTAGTCCCTTAATATGGAAATTTTATTTGAAAACAGATTGAATGAATTGGTCAGTGTTACAGTCTGTGTTCAGAAGCACTCTCTCTCCTTTTGCTTGTTCTTTTCAGTCCAGAAACTCAGAAAAACCAGCACAATATTTATTTAACCTTTATTCTGGGTGCCAGAGAGGAGCCTAGAGCATTTCAGTCGGATCCCTGCTTATCTCTTAGTGAAAACAAGTAATTCTAATGGAGATGAAGAGAGGCACACAAAGCTGTGGGAACACTCAGTAGGGAAGCTTCTGGGCTCAAGGAGGCTTCCTGGAAGGTGTTACTTCTAAGCTGGGCCTGGATGTGTGCCTTAGCTTCAAGAAAGGGGGATAGCAATAGTCTGTGCCAAAGAAACAGGGTGGCCAAAGGCTGGAGATAGGAGTCAGAAGATTTGAAGAATAGAATAAAAATGCCTTGTGCCTCTGCAACCTAGAGGTAATAAGGGCTGTCTCCAACCTGTGGAGGAATTTGCAACCAAATCCCAACTTCCGTTACTTCTGGACTCTTCCTTATCTAAAAATGAATGAGCTTCACCACAAGCTCTATACTGGAGTCATATTAACTTGGAAGCTGTCCAGACAACTCCTGCATGTTACCTAGAGTTATCATTGCACTGAATGAGAGTATTGAAAAATTGTTTGGGTATTGATGTGCTTCCCCTACTCAACCTCAGGCTCCCAAAGCAGAGGGTTTATTTGCATTCCCATTCCCAGCACCTAGTTCAAGGCTTGCTTCAAGTGTGCTTTGCATTTTCTCCGTATGCCTGTGTAATTTTGCACTGTGTAATTTTGCACGTCTAGAACTTCCTCTCTCACTTGTTGTGTTCTTGGTCCATTTCTCTCTTGTGACTTCCCCAAAGCCTTCTGTAGCTTTCTATAAGGCTTTGGACATTGTATCAGAGACTAGCTAGTGGGTTGGCTTCCTAGCTGGGCACTGTGAAGAGGACCTGCTTAGTGTAATAGTTGTATAAGGAAAATGGTTGCCTCCTCGTCAGTGGCCAATGGAACTCAGAGAAAGTGAGGACATGGTGCCATGTACATCACAGTGTTTTAAGGAAAGAGATGAAGGGATGTGGTAAATAATAGTCGTAAATGCTACATGAAAAGAGAAAGGGGCCGTGTGTGTGTGTGTGTGTGTGTGTGTGTGTGTGTTGGATAGAATGGAGAAATGGCAGTAACATAGATTTATGGGTTTTTTTCTTTTTTCCTTTCAGGTAGCAATGAATGTGGATCATGAAGTTAACCTCTTAGTGGAGGAAATTCATCGTTTGGGCTCAAAAAGTAAGTAATTCTTGAGGTTCTGAGGATTGAACCCAGGGCCTTGTGCTTGCTCTACCACTTGAACCATGCCCCCGTGCTTTTGTTTTTGTTTCGTTTTTGAGATATGGTTTGGCTAACTTTACCTAGATTGGCTTCAAACTTGAAATCTACCCGCAGAGTACTTGGATTTATAAGTGTATGCCACCACACCTGGCCCCAAAAGTAAGTGGTCTAACACAAATCATTTCTTCTACATTTTCCTCAGAGCAGGCAGGACTGGCTTTTCAGAGAAGCCTATGATGGGTCACCAGAGGGCTGTAGGGCACAGGATAGCCTCTCTGCCCTAACCCAAGGCCATAGCTCCTTGTCACGGAGGGCTGTTTGAGATGTAGGGTGGCAAGGAATAGTTGAGATGTTTCATTATCCTCTGAATGGAAAGAAAACTGTTGGACTTTCATCTGGTTGTATTTTATTTTATTTTTTTTGGGTCTGGTCGTGGGGCCTGAACTCTGGGCCTGGGCACTGTCCCTCAGCTCTTCAGCTCAAGGCTAGCACTCTATCACTTGCGCCACAGCGCCACTTCCGGCTTTTTTCTTTTTGCTTATGTGGTGCTGAGGAATCGAACCCAGGGCTTCAGGCACGCAAAGCAAACGCTCTACCACTGAGCCACCTTCCCAGCCCACTGGTTGTATTTTAAATCTGGTAATGGAACCATGTTCAAATTTTTTATTTTTCTCCCTATTAACATTTCTATTTTTTTACATATCCCATCTGAGAGGTGCTAAAGCTATACGCACAATAGGAAGTCTCATCATAACTTAGGAAAAGAAATAACTGTCCAGTGAGTTTAATCATATTGTAAGTTACTATTTGTTCAGTACCCACATATGCCAAGACTTGTGTGTAAGTACAAGTTACACAGGTATGTTCGTTCTCCTCTGGAATCTTATTATATCATTGATGAACACACACACACCTTCATGGGGTAACTATCAAAAACAAGATAGCATACTAAACTAAACTGTGTAGTGTGGGCATTCAGTTTAGTGTGGTCCTTGTGAAACAGATTATTGGGAACTATTAGTTGAGGGTTCTGAGTTAAACCTTGAATCTCAGGTGAGTCTTTAAAGTTTAGGGCAGGTCAGGTGACACATGAGTTGAATTTGGAATGAGAATGCATTTGATGTTTGTGGAGAACACTGAGAATTATGTGGGAGAATGTACTTTATTTAGTACTCCAGTCAAACATATCAACAATCTTGCCTAGTCTATTTTTCTCCCACCTCCCATCTGATGGGACTTTGGTGAGTTTCATTTTCACTAGGGATGTCTTCACTTTTGGTCCTGCCCTATGTCCAAGTTTCTCCTGAGCTCTAGAACATTACATTATGTGAGAGGAGCACTTTTGTTTGAATGGTTTTCTTTCTTATCTGTGTCAACCTAGATGGGTTAAACTCCACTAGTTTTAAAATCATATATAATCTTGACATCCCCAGATGAATACATTTTACTACCGCAGACCAAAACTCTGTTTCAGAATCAGCAGCTGAATAATTTAAAAGATTTGAACTAATTATCAGCACTTGCATATACATGAAAACACTTTAAACTTTGCCGCTTTGCTTCAGCCAGCTTACCTTGGCTTTCTTGTTCTTAGCATAAGATCACAGAATTAGAAAGCATCTATCGAAGGATATCGTCTTCTGCCTAGTGTTAATTATTTAAGGTGTGTCAAGTAATTTTGATATATGAGTTCAAGGTGCAAATTGATGGAGGAAGTTTTATCAAGTCAAATCCTTAGAAGTCTCGTTTTTCATCCAGAGAGAAAAGATAAAGCAGAGAATGATTTTTTGGAGATTGAAATGTTTTCATCTAACAGGTATTTCTGGAGTACCTTTTTCTCAAGTATAGGAGATACAGAAGTAAATATACTTAACCTTTAAGGTCTTCTTAGGTAGCTGGAAGATAGCAAACTAGTGTATAAACTCAGTGGGATGGGGTGCTTTGGCACATGCCTGTAATCCCAGCACTTGGGAAGTGGAGGCAGGAGGGTTGAGAATTCAAGACCAGTTTGGGCTACCATCGCAAGTTCCAGGCAGCCTGGGGGAAGACAGGTGAGACACAGTCTTAGAAAAAGAGTATAGACTCTGGTGTCAGACTGTCTGCCATCAATATGTCATTAGTCTCTGAAATGAACCCTAGCTCATCTACACACTTGATGTGTGATCTTGGGCACATTATTAAACTTGTCAGTGTCTTGGTTTCCTTATTTGTATAATAATAACAAATACTGTATCTAAGCAATTAAAAGACCTTTTTCACAATTTAAAATCTCGAAAATAAGAAGGTGTCATAATACATGGGGTGCTGTATTGAAATTGGCAGTTTAATTGGAATATAAAGTAAGGGTGCTTCTCGCAGTCAGTGGTGTCTTCTCTTCCATGAAATGAGGATTGAGTGAATTTTAATGACTGTAAAGTGCATTGAACAGTTCCAGGGACAAAGCAAGTACTCAATAAATGTTAACTATTCCTAGCATAATTAACACTGACTGCTTTGACAGACATATTTAGTTTTTTAGGAAGAGGGACTATTTGATGACTTCTTGTATTTGAGTTTGCTTTTGTAGGAAAATAATTTATCTAGGGAGAGGGGTCTGGGATGCTTGGCATATGGCTTAACACGGGCAAAATTACAAAGCAGGATCCCTCATGGTACCCTGCGCAATAGCAAACAGTTCATTAAGATTGGATCCATATGGAGAGAAGAGCAGACAAGCATTGGATGCGTGGCCATGGAATGAAGAACCTTATCCTTGAGGTCAAGAGCTTCTCTTTATTTTCAAGGTGACTGTGGCCAGGAATTTGGATTTAATAGTCAGGATGGATAGCTGAGGAATTGCTTTTGTTCTGTGCCAGTACTGAGACTTGAACTGAGTGCCTAGGCACTGTTTCTACTTTTTTGCTCAAGGCTGGTGTTCTGCCACTTGACTCACATTGCTACTCCAAGCTTTTTAGTGGTCAATTGGGGTTAAGTGTCTCATGGATTTTCCTACCTGTGCTGGCTTCAAACTTCAATCTTCAGATGTCAGTCTTCTCAGTAGCTAGGATTACAAGTGTAAGTTAGGGCTACTGATGTCCAATGCTTTATTTATTTATTTTTTTTGCTGGTCTTGGGGCTTGAACTCTGGGCCTAGGAACTATCTCTAAGGTTTTTTTCAAGGCAAGCACTCTACCACTTAAGCTATATAGTATTACTCCCAGCTTTTTCTGAGCAGTTTATTGGATATATAAGTCTCACCGACTTTCTTGCCTGGGCTGGCTAGGAACTGCGATCCCTAAATCTCAGCCTCCTGAGTACTCCTGAGTAGCTAGGATTATAGGCATGAGCCGCTGGCATCCAGTCACATTTTAAAATTTATTTATTTTTTTTGTTGGTTGTGGTGCCTGAACTCTGGGCCTGAGTGCTGTCCCTCAGCTCTTAGGCTCAAGGCTAGCGCTCTACCACTTGAGCCACAGCGCCACTACCAGTTTTCTGAGTGGTTTATTGGAGATAAGAGTCTCATGGACTTTCTTGCCTGGGCTGGCTTTGAACCATGATCCTTGTATCTTAGCCTCCTGAGTAGCTAGGATTACAGGTGCGAATCACTGGCGCACAGCTTTTTTTTTTTTTTTTAAAGATCCTACATGGAGAATTCTGAATATATTTAGAATACACTTGATCCTGGATTTCTCTTTCATATGTTGTCTTTATTGATTTGTCACATATTAATTTAATTATGTCAACATAATTTAAAAAATATCAAGATGGGGAAATTTATCTACAACCTCAGCACTGTAGCTGTTACTTGGTTCTCTTTCAGTTTGTCTAGATAATATAAAGGCCAGGAGACCTTGTGTGTATAGAACACTGAATCTGAATTTTGGATCTAGGAAAAAGCTACTTGAGCTTATGATCAAGTGTTAAATTATAATATTGGTTGGCTCATATTAAGAGGCTGGTTAAAGATTTTGTTTGCCACACATGGAGGCAAGAAACAGACTGTGCATTTGCTGATATTGTATTTTCTCAAATTAGATGCTGATGGACAGTTAAGTGTGAAATTTGGAGTCCTCTTCCGGGATGACAAATGTGCCAACCTCTTTGAAGCATTGGTGGGAACTCTCAAAGCTGCAAAACGAAGGAAGATTGTTACCTACCCAGGAGAGCTTCTTTTTCAAGGTGTTCATGATGATGTCGACATTATATTGCTGCAGGGTTAAGGTGTTTACATAGTTTTGTGCACTGCTGTTTTGTTTTGTTTGTTTTGTTTTTTGAATTTTGGTTTCTGGTAAAGTGGAATAGTAAGTCAAAGGACCAACCTGAGGTTACATAATGTATTTTTATAGAATTTTGAAAGCAAAAATGGACTCACATTTTAGTTTTTTTTTACATCTTGAAAAGGGTGATGTATTGCCTAGTAAAAATAAACAAATCCTACAAATCCTATTATTTTTCTCAGCAAAAATTGATTGGAAGATATAGTTAATGAAGCTTTTTTTTTTTGCCAGTCTCAGAGCTTGAACTCAGGGCTTAGGTGTTGTCCCTGAGCCTCTTTGTTACTCCAGTCTAGTGCTCTACCACTTGAGCCACAGTGGCATTTTTTCTGAGTAGTTTATTGGAAATAAGAATCTCATGGACTTTCTTGCCCAGGCTAACTTTGAACCTCCATCCTCAGATCTCAGCCTCCTGAGTAGCTAGGATTATAGGTGTGAGCCACCAGAGACTGACTGGAGCTTTTTTTTTTTTTTTAATTTTTTGAAGTATGGAACCATTTGCTTCGTAAATCATTCTTAGACAGTTTTTACAGATGCTTGACATTCTGTCAAAGCAAAAAGCCAACTGAAGAGCAAGCCTCACAAGGAATGTTACTTTGTTTATATAATAAAAACATGGAACTGTTTCAAAATTGCCTTATTGCTTCTTTGTCATTTAAGCATGTGCCTCTCAGAATTGAGTTTTTCAACAGGATTAGGTAAGTATAGGAAAAGTTATGATTTGAAGATACTCTTAAAAAGAGAATTGAAAAAAACAATATGTTAATGTTATACCCTATTGCCAATATTTATTTTGTTGGCAGTGAGTATTTACCCAGAACAGCTACTTCTTGTATATTGGTGACATTATGAAAAATACCTTGCCTCTTTTCTCCCCTGCAAAACAAGGTTACTAGGGTTTGAATCTAAGGCCTTAGGCATTCTTGGCAAGCACTCTACTACTTGAGCCACACTCTCAACCCAGGAAAATGTCTTACACAGCTAGGATTCACTTGAAAATTAATAGGTTATGTTAAGAATCGAATACTTGGCAGTGAAGGTGTCATGATTTAGCAAAAGTTGATTGCAAGCATGTTTGTGGTCTATTGATATGTGCTTACCCTGCAGAAGGACAAAGGACAAGAAAGGAGCTGGTAAACCTGAAGTTAAAGAAACAAACACTCATAAAGCTCTGGGCCTCTAAACATTTGATTTGGATCTAGGTAGGTGGAACATTCCAAACTGGCCTAATTCCTACCATGCAGAGACGCTGGCCTTGGGAATCCAGTATTCTGGTCCAGAATCAGATCTGCAGGCAAAATCTTGGATGAGTCAAGATCAGTTGCAGTTTTAGGCCTGACTGTTCCCTCTTTGTTACAGGACCCTAGTCTGTATAAGACACCATGAGAAGAGAGGGACAAGATGTCTGGGGATGAAGTTATGAGGCTAGGAATGATTTTCTGAACATGTTTGGTTAGTTAGGTGTCCTCAGTGGCTCTTCACAGTGAGACAGAGGAGAAAGGGAAAGACTAGAAAGGGTCCCTCTCCAAAGCAACTTACTGTGCTTTCTTTTCAGTTTGGCCAAAATCCTCTGTGACTTAGACAACAGGTCTCTTTCAAATACAGTAAAATAGACATTGAAGACCATAAAGAGAAAACTGAAAATTCTTCTCCCACCGAATCAAAACGCCAAATGTTGAACTGTCACCAGCAGTGTTTTCTGCTCTCTCTTCCTAGGTGGGTGCTGGTGGGTGTGTGACTCACTCAGAGGAGGCCGGGTGGCCTCCATAGTAGTTTTAGGGAATTGGTCTAGATGGGAGTCAGAAGGATTTTGACCTCTGTTATCACCTCCCCTGGAGTAGAAATCGGTGGCCCATGTGATAGCTGTCTTTGTTTCCTTTACTTGATAGCAACACAGAGACAATTCTCAACTTATACAGACAAAAATACCAAAAAGAACAAGGATTTTGGGAGGGAAGGAGTTGAAGCATTCTTTAAAAAGAATTTTTAAGTAAGAGCTACACAGGTGCTACATTTTCCCTTTATTGGTGCAGCTTGTCTCCAGGGAAGGTGTGAAGAGATCTTGGCATACTTCTTTCCCTAACTGGTCATGGCTCATCTTGGGAGGGAAAAAAAAATCAGTGCATGCAGCTGCCAAATACTTCAGGACTCAATTAGATTGGTCCCAAGAGGATTCCTTTCCTGAGGCTCTCATCTGCTACACAATTACCACCTTTCATGCCAGAACTGGGTCCCCAACTATGTAGGGCTTTTTTGTTGTCAGTTTTGTTGAGTTGTATCCTCACAGTTGAAAATCATGCCCAGTACATAATGGGTGCTCAGTTATATTTGTTGACTACATGAATGAATGTATTTTTTACTTTATTCACCAGGAATAAGGGTAATGAGAGCTAATAGTTATTTTTTGCTACATACTTCATGCACAATAAATACTTCATATGTGTTGTTTAATTGAATGTTGCCAACTCCACTGAAATGAGTGTTATTAATATTGTTTCCACTTTATATTCTGATCCTGAGGGAATCAATCCAGTAACTTTCAAAGGTGACTCTGCTAGGAGGAAGACTAACTGAGCTCTCCATCACTGTTTTACAGTATTCTCAGGAAGATTACAGATGAGCTTTTGTGGTATTTGGGATTGAACCTAGGGCCTTGCTCAGGCTAGGCAAGTAGTCTGCTATTTGAGCTATGCTGTAGGCCTTCTTTGTTTGGTGTTTGAAATAGGGTCTTAACTAGCTTTACTTTGGTTGGCCTCAAACTTGTGATTCTCCTTCCTCTGCCTTCTAGGTAGCACCACACATGACCCTTACAGTCTGTTTTAGAAAGATAAAATAGTTGCATTTGAAACAGTTGTCTTGATGTTACAGTCTATCTGCATTTATTTTGCAGTCCAAATTCACAGATCACTGAGAATCTAATTAAAAATGCAGACTGATACATAAGATAAAGGCAGTATTTCTGGTATTGGCAGTATATATGACCGCAGATTATGCCTTCAGACAGAAAATCCTACCTTCTCTCTTCAGGGATAGCTAGTATTGTGGTTATTAGAGTTAGAGGGCCATGTGTCCTGGGTACTTTCTATGACTTGACTCCTACTTTCTGGATTTATCTATGGAACCTGGCTTACTGCTACTTCTTCTTCCTTTCTTTCCTTCATCTTCTCCCCCAGCTTCCTCCTTCATTTTAATTTTCAGTGCTAAGAATTGAGCCTAGGACCTTGTAAATGCTAGTCAAAGTATCATGAACTTGTCTGTCTTCATTGGCCTTGGTCTGAAGTCCTCCCATTCTTAGCTTCCCAAGTAGCTAGGATTACATAAATGTAATTATTACATAAAACCCTGATTAATATTGGGTTCATTTTAATAAATGGAAGTATATTTCAAATGTTAATTTTTCTAGACTATGTGTGCACAGTTCCATGATTCTCCTGTGTGTGAATGAGAATGTGCATGTTTGCACAAATGCTCACACACACAAACTAATTCTCAATTCAAGATATAAAACATCTTTAGGGCGGGTGCTAGTGGTTCACACATGCAATCCTAGCTACTCAGGAGGCTGATGAGAGGATCAGGGTTCAGAGCCATCCTGAGCAGGAAAGTCTGAGACTCTTGTCTCCAATTTATGACCAAAGAGCTGGAAGTGGAGCTGTGGCTCAAGTGGAAAAGTTCTAGCCTTAAACAAACAACCTGGGAAGGGGGGAGACAAAAAACCAAACCTCCCCACCCCCCAAATTCGAGCCCTAGGACTGGCAAACAACAGCAAAAAGACACAAAACAAAACCACCCTAACAAACAAGCAAAAAAATCCCACAGACACACAAATAGGTGTGGTACACACCTGTAATGCTGAGATAGGAGGATTGGTTTGTGGATCCCAGGAGTTTGGAGCCATTCCTGGGCAACTTAGCAACACTGTCTTACTTGTTTTCCCCTGATTTCATAAGGTTCCCTCAAACTCATTCCCAGTGAATATATCACTCCCTCAAGTAACAGCCATTCCAGTATCTATAGTCACATTAGTTTTGTCTCTTTTCAAACTTCATCAAAATGGAGTCATTCAGCTGTATTCTCTGTGGCTGCCACATTTACTCATCACAGTGAGTCAGAGCTTTGTCTGCAATGCTATGCACAATAGCACTTTGTTCTTTTTAATTGGCATATAGCATTTCATTATATGACTTGTGACAGTTTATGGTTGATGGAAATTCAGATTAAGTATTATGAATACAACTATACTTAGACTTGTTTTGTGGTGAGTATATAGACAGGACTAGATTGGGTCATGGGGTTGAGCCTTTGAACTGTCTTAAAAGTAACTTCTGGGGCTGGGAAGGTGGCTCAGTGGTAGAGTGCTTGCCTTGCATGTATGAGGCCCTGGGTTCGATTCCTCAGCACTACATTCACAGAAAAAGCTGGAAGTGGGAGCTGTGGCTCGAGTGGTAGAGTTCTAGCCTTGAGTTGAAGAGCTCAGGGACAGCGCCCAGGCCCAGAGTTCAAACTCCATGACCAACAAAGAAAAAAAAAGTAACTTCTGTTGTAGACTTGATGTGCTAGATACTTTTTCCTAATGAACATTAAGTTGCAAAAGCATAATTATTAATCACCATGTACTACCTAAAATTATTTTGCTTATACTACTTTGGGGTAAACCGTTATGGCTAAAAAAAAGGCATGGGCTTCTTAGCACTGTCATTTGGTATATATAGCCCTGTGACTCTGATCAGATCATTTATATGATTTATAATCTCATTATCAATGCTGAGTGCATAATTGACATATCAGGCATGGAGATGTCTATGTTATGATTAAAAGGACAATTGGTATCGTTTATAATTACCCCAAACTGTGTATTAAATGCTGACAGTTGATGCTGTGATTAGCCCCTATGTAAAGAAAATTAGTCAGATAGGTTATCATTCAGAAGCTGATCACTATACGAAATTAACAGCAATGCTAAGACAAACAAGATAGTGACACTAGCTTAATGAGCAATTTTTAGAGATTTTATTATTAGCTTTTATAAAAATGTTAATTTTGGCTGTTAAGAAAAACAAAATGGGGCTGGGAAGGTGGCTCAGTGGTACAGTGCTTGCCTTGCATACATGAGGCCCTGGGTTCGATTCCTCAGTACCACATAAGCAAAAAAGAAAAAAGCTGGAAGTGGCG